GGATATCAGAGACTCCCTGACCTCCCCCTCGAGACCGAGGCGGGAGACGGCACACCTCACTGAGTCAGGCAGAATGAAGCCCAGTTCCTGGAAATAATCCTCCTCCTAAGCCTGGAACATCCTGGATAAGGCGTCGGGCTTCACATTCTTAGAGCCGGGCCTGTAGGAGAGGGAGAAGTTAAAACGGCTGAGGAGTGAGGCCCACCTGGCCTGTCTGGGATTGAGCCTCTTGGCAGTCTTCAAGTATTCCAGGTTCCGGTGGTCTGTCCACACCATGAATGGGAGCTTGGAGCCCTCCAGCCAGTGCCTCCATTCTTCGAGCGCCAGTTTAACCGCCAAGAGTTCCCGGTTGCCCACATCGTAATTGCGCTCAGCCTTAGACAGCTTTCTAGAAAATAAGCACAGGGGTGAATGCGGCCATCACTGGATTCCTGGCTGAGAATAGCCCCAACCCCAGAGCTAGAGGCATCAACCTCCACAACAAATTGTCTATTTGGGTCAGGGGAAACGAGGACGGGATCAGAGATGAGTTCCTTTAGACACTTGAAAGCCTTGTCTGCATGTTCGTTCCAAGCAAATTTCATCTTGCTTGAGGTGAGGGTGTGGAGCGGAGAAACAACCTGGCTGTAATTGCGGATGAATCTTCAGTAGAAGTTAACGAATTCCAGAAACCTCTGGAGCTGCTTACGGTCAACAGCAGTCTTCCATTCATCGCCCTCTTTTATATGGAACAAATGATAGGCGTTTCACAGGTCCAACTTTGTGAAAATCCTGGCTTTTTGGACCTGGTCAAACGGAATTCATTAGGGGAATTTGGTATCGGTTCTTAACCAAAATGTCATTGAGCCCCCTATAGTCTATGCAAGGCCGGAGAGAGCCGTCTTTTTTCCCCACAAAGAAAAAGCCTGCGCCTGCGGGTGAGGAAGAGGGGCGAATTATGCCTGATCTTAGGGACTCATTCATGTAGTCCTGGATGGCTTGGGACTCCGGAGGGGATAGGGAATAGAGACTACCTCTTGGTGGGGTGGTACCAGACAGCAGGTCCATCAGCACAGTCATACGAGCGGTGAGGAGGGAGACATGTGGCCTTGTCTTTATTAAACACCTCCCTTAAATCATGGTATTCGGACGGAACTTTAGACAAGTCAGGGTAGTATTCGTTAGCCTTACCCTGAGATGAAGGGAGAGGCTGGGCAGAAAACAGACACGATTCGGAGCAGGAAGGGGCCCATCCCATCACCTCACACCATCGCCAATCTATCTGGGGGTTGTGTCTCCTGAGCCAAGTGGCGCCCAAAATAACAGGAACCTAAGGGGAATCAATAATCATAAAGACCAGCCTCTCTCTATGATTACCTCCCATTATTAGCTCCACTGGCTCCGAGACGATCATGATTCAGTTCGTGCCCATCCAGGGCGAGCACACTGCAGGGGGAAGAACCAGGGTGGAGTTG